TATATTAACAGTATGTCATCTAATTTACAGTTTTTCAATGTAAACACTGATTATTTCGATAAGAAAGATTTAATTTTGTTTTATGTGAGTTAATAAAAATCCTCTTTCCTTCATAAAGCAAAAAAATTCTTGTAATTGCCCGGTGGGCACACGACGTTATTTCGACGTTGATTCACAGTTGATTTTTAGTCACGACGTCGTATAACCAAAAATCAACGTTGTATCAACGTTGAAAAATTTGTTTTAAACTATCATATAAAATCGAAGTTGATTCCACGTTAATTCACCGTCTATATTACGAGTTCGATCGTTCGTAATTGCAATATGATAACTTAAATACGCATGCGTGACTTAAAATTTTTTTATCAACATAACAAATAACAAGTAAAGACTCAACAAGTTACTTATTAGCCCAATAAAAACAAGTAAAGTCACACATGCTAATAAATTAGGTCAACTGTTGCCTTTTTATAAGGTTTTGAATTTGACAATTTAACAATAATACATGGCTTAACTTGTGGTGCAGTTAGTTAGGTAAACATTAAATGGATATTTCTTTATGACCGTATTATTTCATGAGTGTGGATTAAAAGTAGAGACTACTTGATATATTATATAAATATAAAATATATAATATATATGTTTTTCTCATTCATATAATACATATATATATATATATATATATATATATATATATATATATATATATATATATATATATATATGTATATATATATATATATATATATATATATATATATATATATATATATATATATATATATATATATATATATATATATATATATATATGTATATATATTATATATGTTTATTATATTAAATATGCATACTATATATATGTATATATATATATATATATAATATATATATTTATTTTATATATGCATATTATATATATGTATATATATATATATATATATATATATATATATATATATATATATATATATATATATATATATTTATATACATATATATATACATATATATAATATGCATATATAATATATACATACACTATATATGTATATATACATCCATAATATAAATATATATAATGGATGATGTTTTACAAAATAATGATTTACCAAGCTTTTTTACCAATCCATGTAATTTAAAGAGTTTAAATATTTTTTATATTAAAAAACTTTTATTAAATTTTTAAAGATTTTTCTTGTAAAACTCTATAAAAAAGAATTTGTGAATGCTTCTTTAGTCCATAATATTGGTAGAAAGATCAACATAAAAATTTAGCAAATTTTAGCAACTGTTTAATGTATCATAACGTACAGTTTATAGTTGTATTTTTCTGCTAGCTATTTTACATGAACAAATTTTTAATATATAAGTATTTTTTCTATTATAATTTCTACCATACTTTTCCAGTTGAAAAAGTATAGTAGGGCATGCAAAATGTTCATTCGAGCTGTTTGGATAGAAAATACAGAGAAATAAAGAGAGAAAATTCGATTGATACTTTTTTGTGCTGCTCGTCATCTTTAAATGTAATAAATTGTTTCAATGAAATGCATAAACCGCATCTAACTAATACAGATTTAAGCTGCTCAAAATTTAATTTCATGGAGATAATGTAATTTTTTTTAAATATAAACCTTAATTTATTACTTTTTTTCCTTGTTTTTAACATGCTTTCATTCTGTATATGTTGTTTTCAGTGTTTAGATATATTCTTTATTATATATTCTTTATTATATAATGTATTTAAAACATTTTTAAATTGAATGAATATTTTTAGATTATGAGTTATGTAATAAATTTGAATTTGCCTCTATAAGTGATACTCAGATAGAATCAGGTTCAGAAAACAGTAACTATTTCAAAAGATACTTAATTCAAGTATTATTAGTTATATTTTGATATTAATTATTATAGGAGCCACTACCATGCTTATGCAAGAGAAAACATAATAACCAACAGAATAGTAAGCAAATACCTACTCCTGTAACGCAAAAAAAGAAACAGAAAACATTTTTTATGAAGAGTTTCCTGGCCAATCAAGTAATGGAATATTTTGTTCTGATAGATATTTTTTAACTGATTTAGCTGTGCGACATGGTCATGCCCTGTCCTGCATGAAGGCTTTTTTTTCACCTGGACTAAACTATTCTGCCAATTGTGACAACAATCTTTGTTCCAGCATTTTTATATTGTAACTGTAACATTTTTCATTCTGCAATATAGAACCTTCCTATTTCTTTTACACATTTCATTAATCAGATCATCACAGAGGTGGGGTGTTTAACAGTTTGAATGATACAGTCCAATAAGTATTTTTTCCCTTTTTTTCTTTTTAAAACTTAAAAGTACTCTCGCCGCTAAAGCATACCTTCAAATATTATACAAGGATTGTTAAGTGAATATTGAATGAATATTTAAAGTTTGATGTAAGAAAGTGGATATTTTAAATTCATCTAAATTAATTTTATTAATTACCAATCATATGTTAAATTCCTATACTTTTTTGTCCACTCAAGCATTTTTTGTACAATTTTTGGTGTCAGTTTAGGCTTCTTAGCTGGGCGTCGTGAAATGTAACCAAGATTGTGTAGGCAATGTTGGACCGTTCTCTTCAACATTTTGACTCCAGATTGGCCCAGCTTATTAGTTATTTTGTTGTTGGTGGCCCGTCTATTTTCTAGAACAATCTTGGTAAGTATTCATTTCCTGCATGGTGTTAGGATTCTCTTCTTTCCACATTTACCAACCCTCTTTGGCATCAAGTTCTCCATATTAGCATTTTTTTGTGTATATTTTGTACAGATACCCGCAAAATACAATATTTTCTGGCTATTTTTCATTGAGAATGATCAGTATTTATTAAAAGTGCCCTGATTTAAGCAATTTTTTGTGTCAAGTTTTTTTTTCCCTCATAACTAAAATAAGATATCACATATCAGTATCACATAACAGTTAAGAATTTGCTTTGGTACTCATAACCTTTAAAAATATCAAACTAAATACAACTATTTTTAGTTTAAAATAAAAAGAAATATTCAAGAAATTTTTACTGATTTAAATAAGTAATATGACGATAACCTAATAAAAGAATTCAAAACTCTGGTAATAAAACTTAACAAGTGTACAGCAAAAAGATTATAATTAAGATGACATCATACAAAATGGCTGTCAAAAGTGACAGTGTTGCCAGTAGCAAAAAAAAAGCGTTGATTTTGTAAGTTAAAACTTTATTTTAAACAGAAGATTAATTTTCAATAATGAATTTTTACTCTTCATATGAAAAAAATGAGATTAAATTTCATAATGATCAAAACTCATAGGTGGCCATAATAAATTGTCACACAACTGTTTATATAAAGTATAAATATTTTGCAAAAACACTTTTATTTGCAATAACTGCTTCATTGCATTGTAGCATGCTTGCAATTTATTTTTTATAGTTTCTGTCAACTCTGGGTTATTATGCTAGATCTTGATAATCTCCTCCATAAGATCTTGCTTATTAGTAAGATTTTTTTTTTCCAATCTCTTGCATTACTATTTCTTAAATATTTTCTATGGGGTTAAGATCTTGCGAGTTGTCTGGCTATAGCAATACATCAACTAAGCCATAACAGTTTTTATTGTTTTGCAAGTTGCACCATCTTGCATAAATATAAAATTTTTGACATTATTTTTAAATTTTTTTGTCAATTTTTGACATTTTTGGCTGGACATCAATCCCTCTTCTTTTAGCCTTTTACAAATGGTCTGGTCTGACACAACAATTACAGCTTCATGGATTGGCTTTTTTTTTGTTTTCCAGGCAGATATTTCTGATTATACTGTCCGCTCTTGGTGTTTTCTTGCGTTTAGAGGGTGGTCTTCTTGGACCAAACTCTTGGAACAAACATTAGGTATTTACTTGTAAGTTAAGTGTAAAATTATATATTTTTAAAAATCACAGTTCGTTTTTTTAATGCTATTTTATTTTTAACTTTTTGATGCATTTGATGAAAATTACTCAGGCAATACCTTTTTTATAGAGAGAGTTTTGTCAATTAAAGTGACTGCTACAGTTGTCGAAATAAGAAAAAGAATAATGAATTTATTAAAATACGCACTCGACAGATCAAATGGTGATGGTCGGCGCGTAAAAGGCGATTAACCCGATGTATAACATTCATTCTTTTTCCTAGTTGTTCTGGAACTATTGATAATAGTTTTATTGATAAATTGTTAAATATAATACTGATAAATAAAACTTTTTCTTTTCAAACATTTTGTTTTATTTGCATTGTATGTAAAGTCCGTTGAAGCAATTTAGTTGTATCTGATTAATTTACGTGAAATATAATATCCTCTGCGCAAATTATTGCTTTTTTATTGTGTTAATTTATTGCAATTAAAGTTGAGATAATTTTTTAGTTAATTGGATCTAACCAAAATAAAAAACAAAAATCAACGTTAAATTTACGTTGTTTCAACGTTGTTTTAACGTCTTATCAACTACGTATCAATCGAATATATCACGTATTCAAAGTTGAAATATGGTTGATATGTAGTCGAAAGACGTTAGATTAACGTTGAAACGACGTAATCATCGACGTTGTTTCAACGTCGTAGTTTTCGACGTGGGATTTTATTTCCAATTCAAACAAATTTCAACGTTGTTTCAACGTGGCATATGGTCGGTGTGCGACGTTGTTTTAACGTTATTTCAACGTCATTGTGCCGGCTGGGTGTAGTTATTTTTAATTAACCAGATACAACTAACAAAGCATTTTGTGTAATAAAAACGTATGAGATTTTTTTATAAAAAGTTATGAAAAAATATCAAACACGAATAATAAAAATAAAACTTCTTATCATTTTAAAATTCGAAATAAAAAATAAATAAAAAAAAATTAACTCAATAGTCTATAACACATTCTAATACCAAAAATATAAAATATATATTAAACTTAACAACTTAAGTGTATGATCCGTTTAAATTTAATCTGAAAATTATTACATTATTACATACAACCTGTTGCTGAAAACCATTGTTCTTTGTCAGGAAAATAAAGCATTTCATCAGCAATGGCTTCTAAAACGGAATATTTGACTTCTTTATTTCTCTTTAAAATTTCTTCTTGTGCGCATTGTTGGATATGTTTTCGTTCCAAAGGTAGAAAGGGAACATAAACGTTTATTAATGCCTTTTTTATGATATTAGAGTTTTTAAACCCACCTGGTAAATTTAAAGCATTATAAGCTATAAGTTGTTCAAATATTTTACTGTCTATTGTCTCTCTTGATTTCTTACTTCTATAATGATTAATAGTATAATTGTTAATTATTTCACCAACAGAGTTGCTTAAAAAAATAAATATATTTTTGCGATAATCAATACCATCTAACTGAACATTGTAGTCTAAATAAGGAGCAATAGTATTGCCAAGACCCTCTGGCATTTCATGAAATTCATCAAAAATAAATAATGTTCGTTCACATAGCCTGGCATTCTTTTCTATATGTTTAGATAATTCATTTTTGTATTCTGTTAACATTTTTTTATGAGGAAAATCTTTTGTTGCAACTTTTATATGAACAAATTTACTATTCATACCTTTTTTGAACAAAGAATTTGCAATTATTTGTGAAGCAAAATTTTTTCCTGACCCAGTCCATCCATGGAATGACATGACTAATGGCGAACTTGGATTGTTATTTTCAATATGATCATTAATAGGTTTAATAACAAGATCTTCGACTAGGTGCTGGCCAAATAATTTTGACTTTAATTGTTCTTTCAATTTTAAAGGATTTTGCCTCACCCATAGATTATTGCAGCATTCACTTTCTTCACAGGGATCTAAAATGTAATTAGAAATAAGAAATAATCTCATTTATTGTAACTTTTTAAACTAAAATCATTAAAAGTATAGCTCATTTGCAACAAAGATAGAAACTTTTTTTTACTTTGCATTAAGTTGTTATAACATAATGCAACATATCTCCAATTTTAATCCAGCAAACACTGGACCTACAAAAAACGTACAATGAACGTTTTGTTTTTGGAACCAGAATAATTTTTTTTAACAGCATGGAACGTTTAAAAGACTCTGAATTACATTTGGAAGTGCGCCTTTTCATAATGAAACACAGATCAAAATAACTTGTAAAATAAAAATCTTGTTTTATTAGTATCGGTTAAAAATATTTAGTTTGATGGTTAACGTTTTGTAGATATTTTATTTGGTAGTTGAGTAATGCGTGCGCCAGTTTTTATTTTATCTTGAAATAACATCGAAATCTCAGTAAAAGCTAACGGTTTTTGAAAGAGTTGTTTCAAATATATTAGATTGTAAGTTATTAATTTAGTTATAGTTATTTAACTTAATTATGATAATGCTGCAGAATAACGGCGTAAAATCTTATTTTTTTGCTGAAATGTTTATTTGCTTTAGTACATAATTTTACTATCTTATAGCCTGTTGCTACAATGGAGTTCTGCTACATCAACTATATTATAGCCTGCTGCTACAAAGAAAAGCCGCTACATCGACTAAGGATTTGGAATGGGGCAGCGATCTTTTTTCTTTTATTATTTCATTTAATATTTCTGATGAGTGATTTGTAATTCCTGATCAGTAACCTGTAAATTTTAACTTTTAATTTTAAATTGTTATATATACTGAAGGCGACAATGTAAACGGGGCTCGGCGATAAGACAATATACGTCTTTTTTATGCTCCGTCCATTTATTATACGTGTACAATTTTTTTTATTGTAAATTTTTTTAAACGGCAAAGGAATTAAATAAATTAAAAAAAAAAAAATCACAGTGAGTCATAACGAACGTAATGGCTCACTGTTTTACTTTTCTATTTAAAGGCGAGATTCCAATCATCTGTTTTTACTACATGCATGCAAGATTACACTTATCTGTTTTTACTACATGCAACTACGTGAGCATGCGTAATAAAATAATTTATTTGTCCGAAAGAAAAGTGCACATGCTCACGTTTTTATTTTTACCTTTCCCGTAGAAAAACGGATGAGTGGAAACTCACCTTTAAACTTAAATCCCTTTTTAATCAAAAACAAACTAAGGGAATTATACATTTTTATTTTACAAATATTATAATTTCCGTATTACACTTTTACGTAAATAGTATTTAAATTTTAAGATATATTTACTTCATTTAAGAAAAGAAAAGTTAAAAATATTTGTTTACAAACATAATCCGCCATATGTAAAAAGGGCAAAAAGCGGCTTCACTTTTTGGAATGAAGTTAGACATCTAGTTATATAATATATCTAGTTATTAGAAATATGGTTATATAATATATCTAGTTATATAATATATCATTGTTTTCAATTGATAACAAAAGTAAATGGAGAAAAACCCACAACCTGGTAAAAATGGAGGACTTGAAACAGTGTGTTTGTGCAGTTTGTTTGGAAAAAAAAGGCCAATATTCAAAATCTTTATCAAAAGTACAACCACCTATACAAACAAAATCAAAAAATATACTTGGCCTGAGTATAATAAAGATTTCGTTGTTTGCCCTGATGTAATATGTTCAAATTGTAGAAGAAACATAAATTTGCTGAGAAAGGGATCATGTACTTATCTGTCAAACTGTATGAGTAAAGTATCTCAAGATTTTATTAAAATTAAATGATTAATACATAAATAATTAAAAAATATTTTTTTATAAAGTATATGTTTCTGAATTAAGTTAACAGGCCAAGAATTAGACGCAGGGCTGAACCTAGTGGTGTTGTTCAACCATATCGTGGTAAGACACTAGCTGAAGAATCTTCAAACAAAAAGACATGCAGTTGCTCCTTTTTATCCTTGCAAGAAGTTTACAAATATTAAATTATTTGATAAGTAAATAAAAAGTTGTCAAATATTTATGTCTGTGGATTACCTACCAAAAGTCGGTTGCGGAAAAATTAAAGTTATCCTACCGAAAGTTTATTTTTATTAGTTTAAAAACATCTCGTGTCATAATAAAATATAATTATTTTTAAATCGTGAAACTGTAAATTTATGTAGCATAACGTATAGGGTTGTTAAACCTTGATTAGGCGATTGGGGTAGGAGTCCCAACCTCTACTTATTTGATGTAGTTTTCTATGTTATCAATGTTTTATTCTAATATGCCTATTTATTGACTAAATTATTTAGGGATATACGGTTGGAATAGCACAATGAGTGTTCATGCATTTATAAACGCAATAGAGTGTTCATGCACTGGCAGATTTAAAGATAGGCACCGAGGATTTTACATGTTTTTACAAACTTAGGGATAGGCGCAGTGAAGTGTACATTCATTAACTTATTTAAGGATAGGCGCAGTTGAGTGTACATGTACTGAATGAGGGTTTTGGTATAGGCTGGCAGTCTATTTATTTAACGGTAAATCCTTTTTAAATTTTTTTTTACGGTATAAAAAAATAAAATTTATTTTGACATGTGATAATCTCAAACAATAAAAAAGAATTCTCGGTAGGATAAATTATATTTATTCGTTACCAACTTTCGGTAGGTTATCCTCTGTCAATATTTATGTATACATACATTTTTCTAAAGTATAAAATTAAATATTTTATATTTAATTTTATACTTTAGAAAGTCATAGCAATTGTAGTTCTGGTCATGCTGTTTTAATTCTTATTAATTTGTCATAAAACTTTAACTCCACATTATGTGAGCAATTTGCTTCATATAATTTAACAATTACTTTGATTGCTAACATTTTAAAATTATTTGTGTGTAACTTTAGTTGTGGTAAAAAGTATATATAATTTACTTATTATTTATTTTTAAGGTGGGAATCTATTAACTTTAACCATTTGAACAAAAGACGATAAATATTCCTAAAAGTCTTTCAATCAGTTATCATTCCAAACAGTTGCGGAATTGACTTCTATACTGGAAATAACAAAAATTAAAAAAAAAAAAAAAAAAGAAATAGTATCAAGTCTGTGTAAGAATCTAGGGTCGTCTATTGTTGGCGAGTACTATGTAGTGAGCATGACAAGATCATTGCAACAAGAATTGAGTTTAAAGCTAAAATAGAAAAAGATGATTTTATTTAGAATGATGAAACTGTAGCATGATATATGGTATTTATTCATGATACTACGAAATGCTAGAAAGTCATTACTACTCAGTTTCTGAATCTTCGCAATATCTAGGACAAACTAAAAACACTTTTTCAATTTTAAATATCAATATTCGAAGTTTAAATAAAAACTTTGAAAATTTAAAAATTTTATTGGATGAAATTAAACATGATTTTAAAATTATATGTTTGACGGAAACTTGGTGTAAATGCGGTGAAACAAATTATGAATTTGAACTAGTTAATTACACATCAATTCACCAACCGCGTGAAGTTAATGCGGGTGGGGGCGTTAGTATTTTTATCCATAATTCAGTTAATTATATTTTACGTAACGATCTCTGCGTCAATGAAACAGATTATGAATCATTGTGCGTCGAATTAGTAAATAATAAAGAAAAAAACATAATTATAAATACTACATATAGACCACCATCTGGAAACTTAAAGAAATTTAAAACTCATCTTAAAACATTTCTAAACAAAATTACAAATTCGAGAAAACATATTTATTTGGTGGGGGATTTTAACATTAACTTGATCAACTATGCTTCAAATAATAATACTAAGAATTTTATAAATACTCTTCTACAATATAACTTTATCCCAACAATAAACAAATCAACAAGAATAACAAATAGGTCTTCTACTCTACTTGATAACATCATAACTAACAACTTTCATAATAACCCTCTTTACACAGGTATAATCCAGACCGATTTATCGGATCATTTTCCTACATTCTTAGCTACAAATAACATTTTAATTAACAATATTTCCACAAAATCCATAATAATTCGGCGACAGATCAATGAAAACTCCTTAAAACAATTTAAAAATTGTTTAAAAAATTGTGTTGATTGGAATCTAGTACTGCAATCAAATGAGGCTAACAATGCATATGACTTGTTTCTTAATCAATTTTGCAAACAATATGAAATAGCGTTTCCAGAAATAAAAAAAGTCATAAATACCAAGTCACTTCAAGCTCCCTGGATGTCTAAAGGCTTACTAAAATCTTCAAAAAAGAAAGAAAAATTATATATAAAATATCTTAAAAAAAAAACTTATAAAAATGAAATAACTTACAAAAATTATAAAAATATATTTGAAAAAACCAAAAAATACTCAAAAAAACTATTTTATGATCAATTATTAAAGAAAACCAACGGAAACACTAAAAAAATATGGAATTTAATTAAGGATTTAATTGGAAAAAATAATTATAACAAAAGCACTCTGCCAAAAAATCTTTTAATTAATGGAGAATTAGTTTATGAAAAATCAATTATAGCTGAAGAACTAAACAACTACTTTGTTAATATTGGCCCGAATTTGGCTGCTAAAATTTCTACTAATTCCATTCCATTTGATTCATACTTAAAAACTTATGATAAACTTATGGATGAAACTGATTTAAAACTGAGTGAGTTGAGAACTGCATTTAGCAGTCTCAAAAGTAAAAAAAGTGAAGGTTTTGATAAAATTAGTGTTGATGTTGTCAAATCAGTATTTGAAGTCATTGAACCTTCTTTATTTCACATTTTCAATCTCTCATTAAAGTCAGGTATTGTTCCTAATAAATTAAAAATTGCCCGTATAACACCAATTTTTAAATCTGGAGATAAGTCAAATATTTTAAATTACAGGCCTATATCAATCTTACCTTGTTTTTCAAAATTGCTAGAGAGAATAATGTATAACAGACTTTATAATCATCTAACTGAGAACGACATGTTGTATTGTAAACAATTTGGTTTTAAAA